AAATAATATCTGATTGCATTGCATGCCCTTGCTCCTTTTTCTAAAGAATTTCTATTCCACTAACTTGTTTCTTTTTTTAATTTTTAAAAACCGTTTAATGCATTTCTGCTAAAAAGGAGGAAAAAGAGAAACACTGTATGACTGACTTTCTGGTTTGGTACCCATAAAAGGTTAGCTTTGATGATACCTGCAGTGGGAACAAGTTTCTCTAATGAAGATGGAAGTTACTTTTTATTTACATTGTTCTCTAGTATTTGAAATTTTTCTGTGAACATGTGTTGTTTTTATGACAAAAGAGAAATCCATTGCTTCCTCTCCACCTCATTTGCATGAATTTAGGAATTTATTGACTCTCCTGTAATCCTGAGGATTTTGTAATAACTTGCAACAAAAGAGCTACTATTTACTAAGTGTTTGCTTTATGTGAGTCAGAGTACTAAACTCCTTAAATTCCTCCATATTTCTTAACAGGGTTCTAAAGTTGGGAACTACCACCTTCTTTTTACAGATAAGGAAATTGATCAATGACTTGTTCAAGTCAGAGCTTATAAGCAGTAGAACCAGGATTGAAATCCAGGCAGAACTTGCAATGGGCTCCTAACTGGGGTCTCTACCACCATTCTCTGCTGCCAGTTATTTTCTTAGACTACATCTAATCACATCGCTCTTACTTAAAATCTGGGAAACCCCCACCTACTCCTTCCATTACCCAAAGAATACAGCCTAACTGTCTTAACTTGTCATCTCCAGTCCAGTTTCAATGAACTCGAGCATGCACTCATAATACATTAACAAATAATTACAAGTCGTAACAGTTGCTTCAAAACAATTTTCCATATACTCTCCCAAAACCTTGTGACACGAGCCGGTTAGCCAACAGTTCTGGTAGTTTCAATAGCTAGTCCAGTGCCAAGATGATATGCCCTGACTTTGCTGGCTTGTTCACTCAGTGCTCTTAGCTTCTTACCATTTTTCAGCCTATCAGAATGTTTCATCCCTGTTTTGCATACATCAATCTTTCTTTTGCCTGCATGCCCTTCACCCTGCCTGGTAAATGCATATAAATCCTGCATGATTTCTATGGTTCATGTGACCCATCATCCTAGCTCTGACTCTATTAGGTAAAATACATTCTTCCCCAGACTAACTTTCCCACTAAAACAAGAAAGAGCCATATTCTAAGAAAATGAGACTGGTTAGCAAAAATGAATAGCATGGGGGAGGGGGGTGTTTAGAGAGAGAAAAACAGCGGGAAGCTGGATATCAATGGATTTTCTAATTAAGAAGAAAGCCATAAAGGAGTGAAAGTTTCCAGAAAAGGTGGGGATGGGATTACTCAGCGGAAATAAAATCAGACAAACTTCTGTCTCTTTCCAAATCTTTGGCCTTGAGAGGCTCACAAAGAGAGAAGTAGCTTTGGTGATGCAAGAACCCAAAATCTACTTGATTTGTTTCTCTTTAAGACAGGGGAGCTCAAACATGTTTGCCAACGAAAGGTTACTTCTGAAATGTAGTCCTGTTGCCCGGCTGTAAAGCATCTATCACAGCAAAAACAACACAGCCTAGACCTGCAACCCAGTGCTTCAAGTACCGTAGCTCTGAACCTCTCACTACAACCGGCTTAGGTAAGTTCTGTGATAACCTATATTTTATAGGAATGAGGAAGCCAACGCAGAGAGAGGTTAATAAACTTGTCCAGAGTCACTCAGCTCATAAGTCCCAAAGTCAATATTGCCCACCCCACTCCCTCCACCACCACTAATAATCTGGCTGCAGTGTGAGTGCTCGTAGCCAACATGTAATAAGGGTACAGAAAACAGAGCCCTTGACCTGCCCCAGACTTTCCCAGGTCCTGCATTCACTGGCTTAGATCGTCTTTCCCAGGCAGAGTTAAAATCTAGAGATATTCAGGTCAAAGCAGTGGGCAAATGGATACTGTGTCTGAGGAACAGTGGCTGAAGAGGAGCAGTAGGGAGAGCATTTGTGATGTTGCAAGGTTTGCATCTCTCTGGCAGTTATAAAAATTATCATAAGCATCATCGGAGGAGGGGTACAGTGTGCATAAGACCTGGCTCCAACTTCCAGTATTTTGTATTCGGGAGCAAGTCACTTAACATGTGCAAGTATACCAGTTCTCCATTATAATACAGTCTGATGATGGTAACAAACAAACATTTAAAATAATAACAATGATGAGAATTATCCTGCAGCCCTTGGTGGTGTTGTAAGGAGCCAGTGAAATAATGTGTGTGCACAGGCAAATGTCAGCTATTTTATGACAATTGTGGTCACTAGTCTCTCAGACTGTCTGAAAAACTTTCCATCCTCTCCACTCTCCCACGTACACCTCTCAAGCAAAACACTGATTCTGAGAAGAAATGCAAATGGCCAACAGGTATATGAAAAAATGTTCAACATCATTTATAATCAGGGAAATGCAAATCATAACCACAATGAGATACCACCTTACACCATTGAGAATGGCACACATTGTAGCACTATTCACAACAGGTAAGCTATGGAAACAACCCAAATGCCCAAAAAACAGATGACTGGATCAAGAAGATGTGGTACATATACACAATGGAATACTATCCTGCAATCAAAAAAGATAAACTCATGCCATTTGCAGCAACATGGATGGAGCTAGAAGGGATCATGCTCAGTGAAATAAGCCAGAAGGAAAAGGAAAAATATCGTATGATTTCACTTATAGGAGGAATATAAGGGAACCAAGTAAGGGATCAGGGAAAAAAATTAACAATAATAATAATAATAATAATAATAATAATAATAATCAACTAGCAGACAACCATAAATAAGAGACATTTCTGCAAGAGAGAGGGAGGAAAAGGGATTAAAACGGGAGAGACGAGCACAAGGGACTATGGTGATGGTTCATGGGTGAACTGGTGGTGGGAATTTTACAGGGGATACACAATGACATAAAAGACATTAATAAATTATAAAAAAGTAAAAAATAAAAAATAAAGAATGGAAACTATTCTCAGAAAAAAATATAAAGCACTGATTCTGACAGTGTTTCTAGACCCAAATAACTTTCCAATGTATAATTCACCCCTTAAGCAAAATTGCCTTTTACAGTGAGGCAACTTGACACTCTAAAAATTAAGTGAGATGACCTGTGACAAGTTGTCATTCTCCAAGATTTACAGGGCAGCTTTGGGGTGCATGGAGTTTCTTCAAAGAAAAGTCATAATTGCACCAAATATTCCACAGCTGCCTGCTCATCCTTCACTTCTTTTCCCACACAGCATGTGGTTACACTGCTGATATACTACCTCCAATGCAGCGTCTGTCCCATTCATCTCACTACCTGTTTAGGTGGATTTATACATCAAAGTAATATTTAAGGGGCCTCCCTGGATTAAGAGCAACCTATGAAGCTATCTGCAGCCACTGCAGCACGAGTTCGATCCCCAGCCAGGGAGATACCCACATGGTGCAGCAGACCTCTCCTGTCTCACCCGCTGCTACTCTCAAAAGTGTATTTCAGTAGATCCACCTGTTCTGCTCCCCACTCTGTCTCTGGTGAATCCTCTCACCGCCCCCCCCCGTGCCTCTGGCTTGTGCCCCAGTTCTTGTATGCATACATAGATAAATCTTTAAAAAAAAAAAAGTAATATTTAAGTCCTAACATGACAGACAGCGGGCGGTTTTAGTGCAGACACCAGGAGCGTACACACATGGGGATGGAGCATGAGAAAATCACCCCAGCAGCCAGGCATTTCAACTGCATTTTGCCAAGTAATTAGAGGGTCTGAACAAATTTCTCAGGAACCTCTTTGGTAGTCTGTGGAGCTTGGTCTTTAAATGGATTTTCACCTTTAAACAAGACAGTAGCTAGAATGACATGAAAATTACCATTCCTTCTATTTTTGTGTTCAAATTGTCTTGATTTTTTAGCTTTACCCAAGCTATCTATGTTCCAGAGACAAAATTAAAACAATCTACCAGCAGTTACATAGGGTGATGATGGATAGCAGGTATGTGGTCAGTAATAGGGACATTTACTATTAAAGTAATTTGTAGGATATCTGGGACACAATCTCCTTTTCCAGATGAAGACCATGAAGTTCTCTAGGGTTAATATTCCCTTTTTCTTTCTTTGAGAAAGGGATATGCATTTTGCATGTATGATTAAGAAAAGTGAATATACAAAAATCTACAGTTGCAGAGGCAATATGGATGGTATTCACATTAGGTGCTTCATGAAAAGGGGCTTTATTCAGAATTCATTTCTGTATCTATCAGCTCCTCTGATGCACACATATAACTGACCAGTTTTGCAGAGCATCCCCAAAACCACCATCCTCCCAACCCCAAATAATCACATGGTTGCCCGAATGACACTGCTCTCTCAGTTGCTATTAATGCAGAAATCAGCTAAAAGGCATTCAGAATTACAGAGTTTTTCCTCTCTGACCTCTCTGGACCAAAACCAACAGAACCCTGCCACCACCCCCCACACCTGTATTCACAAGCACAGAGAACTAGTTTCCTCTCTTTCCTCTTTTCAAAACAGGGTCAATGGAGATGAAGAACTCCCTCTATCTCTCCCTCCCTCTTCCCACTTTTACTTTAATCAATCAAAATGCCAATGAAACAGGAGGCAGTACTTGTTTTGTGCCCTGGTTTTATTTTTCTTTTTTTAAGCACAAGTATCATTTCCTTCAATACAAATGTATAGTGCCTAGAAAAAAATACAATAATCTTGGTTACTGTCCAGCAGGATCATGTTCCATTGCCTATAGATCAGTTTCTCCATAAAAATACATTCTTTATTTCTAGGACACTTTTAAACATCAGGAATTCCTTGTTTTACAAGGACCTCTGTAAAGATAATTTAAATATGCCAGTGATGAATGTCTAACATATCTAAGAATCAAAGTGATTGAAGTGAGCTAGAATTCAACACCAAGGATACAATAGTTGATACACAAATATATAAATTATCAAATTGCAAAAATACATCATATTTTGTATATACATTTATATCAAGTAATAAGTTACTTACAAAAACAAAAATAAAAGCTCAGGTGTGCTTCTCCTGATTCAAGGGTGAAATGCACAGCATTCCCGGCACTTAGGGCCCCACAGCAGTCACACCCCCACGTGCAAGGGGCGCCTGTCACTTGGCTTGAGCAGATTGCAGAGTTCCCAGTATTTTGTCCCAGTGTGTGAAGTAAGGAGCGAAGTTGCAGTTAAACCGAGAATGATGCAGGTCGTGGTGTGCCACGCCCCCGTACCACCCAAAAGGAAGCAGCCTGTGCGTGGACCAGGGGAAATCGTAGCCCGAGTGGTCCTCCACCGACAGCCAGATGTTGACCACGTGGAAGATGAGGACAGTGAGCGGGTGGCACTCCAACAGAGTCACATTCACCATGTCAAAGAAGCCCAAGGAAAACAGCTCCCAGAGGCTCACATACTGGGTGGCCAGGGCGAAAGAGGACGTGTTCTGGTGGTGCATCTTGTGGAAGGTGCGATACAGCCAGGGGACCTTGTGGTGCAGCACGTGCCACACGAAGAACTCGGCGTCGAAGAGCAGCAAGCAGAACACGACATCGCGCACCAGCTGGAGCAGCTCGGGGGCTTGGGTGGGCAGGAGAGATGGGCGGCAGGCCCAGTGCAGCATGGTCCAGGGGAACACGAACACCACGTGCTGGTAGAGCGTCTGCCTCAGGCAGAGCAACAGCTGCCGCGGCGTTGGCGAGAAGTCAGGGTGGATCTTGTAGCGTCGAAGTGTGGGCACCCAGGGGCACAGGGCGTCCAGCACCACAAAGGGCAGGCAGAAGCCCACGTAGGTGGTGAAGGCGAAGATGATCGGGAAGAAGGGAGACTGGGTGAGAGCATCCGGGGCTCTCAGACGGTCCCAGAGGGGCTGCAGGAACAGCTGCCCGGAGCTGCAGACGACCTGGAGTTCAGTGCGGTTTTGGCCGCTCATGGTGAGACAGTGCCTGCAGCTGCGGCCGCTGGAGCAGCGCTGGCTTTTCTTTGGCGTTGCGGCCCCGCCCCGTGATGTCAGCGCCTCTCCGCCGCTCACTCTGGCTGCACAAGGTTGCCTGAATAAATAAACCCACAAAGTTGCGCTTAGCTGCTATAAATACACCTATACAACAGCATTTAATCGTCTTTATGCATGCAATATGCAACGACACTTAGCAACTTGTCTATGCCTATAGAAAGATCATGTTCTGATTTTTTTTCATTTTTTTATTTTACATATTTTTACATCATTTTTCATTTTTGCACAATGTATGCATTTTCGCCTTGGTTATAGTCCCCGTACAATTCCCAACCCCCTTGTTTGATCCTACTCCCTCCTCCCCCTCCACCCCGTGTGTCTCTGGTTTATCGTTACTTGTTGATTTTGAGTTTTACTTTATTATAATTAGTATTTTTCCTGGTCCCTTACTTAGGTTTTCTAAATTCCTGCTATGTTCTGATTTTTAATTGACATGCAACTTACACACGATACAATGAACAAATCTTCAGTGTGGTTTCTGAATTTTGACAGCTCGGTTCCCCGGGGTCATCATCACCCCCAAAACAAGAGAATATTTCCATCACTATCAGAAAGAGCTCTTTTGTAATCAGTGCAGAATTACCTGTATTTAAATGCTTACATAGAGTTGTGTTTCTGTTTTCCTGAGGACACAGCTTAACCGCCTTTTTAAAAAACTTCTTAGCGCAAGAACTTTTAAAAAAAATTCTGTATTTCGCATCTTTTCTGTCTGCGCACGCTTGTATCAATGTAACCAACAACGAGTTGCAAACTCACCTTTAGCGGAGCGAACCGACAATCACTCGCCCCGCGCGGCAGCAATCAGCGGAGAAAGTCAGACGCGACCGGAGACGGGCCGGGACCGAGCCAGGTCAGCGTCTCGGAGGGGAGCTGTCCCCGCTGGCCACAAGCTCCAGGGCGCACCGCACGCACACTTGAGCGGAGGAGCCCGCAAGCCCAGGCGGGGAGCCCTGGCCACCCGGAAAGAGAGGGCATGAACATAGGAGGGCGCGATTGTTAGGCTTCGCATTGCACAAAAAAAAAAAAAAAAAAAAAGGTTTCTGAATGCTGGTTTAACATCCAGTGCCTGCCCAGATCTCCATTTGGTGTGGACGCAATGAAATCAGTAATCCACCCACTTTGTTTCTCAAGGGAATCTGTGCGTCCCGAGGCCTCGCTGGAGGATGGTGATCCCAGCAGATGCACTCCCCTGGCCGGCTTCGCGGCGCCGGCTTGCCCCTCACCCATCTCGATCCTGCCCCAGTAACACCTCACTAGCCCAGAGCATCCATTGCGCCGCCGCGGGCCCCCTCTCGGCATTTCTCGCCGCCTTCAGACTGGGGTTTCTGGCTGGGGACTGAGCCCTGGTGTGTAGGGCGGCAGCTCTGGAGAGAAGCCATGACGAGGATGAAAACCAACTGGCTCGTTTGAAGCGCGCGCCTCTAGGGATGCCTGATGGATACAAGTTTTGGACAAAAACTTGGAAGCCAGGGACCACTCCCTTGGTCTGTGAGTTTGGGGTCAGCGCTTCGCTCCTCTAAGTTTTGTTGTTGTGGGTTTTGTTTTTTTTTTTTGTGGGACCCACGCCAGTGGCCGGGGATCGAACCGGCGCTACAGAGGCTGTGGGCAGCCTCGCAACCCAGCGCTCAACCGCTGCGCCACCAGGGGAAGCCCTAAGTTTTGTATTTCCTTATCCCTCCCAAAGGGAAATAATAATCGTGGTCATCTCATAATAACAAAACAACAATAATGATAATACCACCTGACCTCTATCTCACTGAGGTGCCAGCCATTACTGAGTGTTTTACTTAAAACGCTTTTATTCAATCCTTAGAAATCCTGGGTTCCCCAAGCTGCCAAGAAGTAGGCATTATTATTGTTGTTGTTGTGATTTATAGAAGTACAAAGTTTCTGACACACAGAAAATAGACAAAACATTATTTTAAGCGTGCAATCCACCTTCTACCAAAAGAATAATGGAAGAAGTTTATGATGTAAATCAAATCAAATTATGTAAAGAGAAAAAATATAAGCTATATATTCTGAGGGAAAAATGAATGCACCAAAATGATAGACCAACATGTAGATCTAGAAATACAATAATACATATGCCTCTTATACCATCCTACACTAGTCTATATATAGATCCTAAATAATGTAGCTGTAATATATAAGCCAATTCATAACTTATAATAATGATATGATAATATAGAATATAGAGGACATGTATGAGATATATAGTATGTCTCTCTCACACACACATCCATAGTGGGCCAATTTATTATTCAGAACCTCCCAATTATACATCTGAACTGCCACTAATGGAATATTCTTAGATGCCTGTTCTTTGGAGCCCTCAGGTCCTACCAAGGTTTATTTTTCCAAAGTTCACTGTGGAACTAATATTATGATATTCTGCTTGTATCTTGATATTCTGCTTGTATCTTGATAAGATAAAGGTTCAGAAGCACCTCTGAGCTTCTGGATGACCAATGCAAAAAGGGAAAGAGGGTGGGGTTTTCCAGTGTTGCATGGATATCTCTATGATATCGTAGAAAGGTACAATGCAGCCTCTTGACCTCTCTGCTGGTTTCTTCTACTTAGACAATCTGTTCTTTCCAGGCTCTTCTTCAATCGTCCCCTTCCGGCTGTGCACTTTAAAGGAAGCCCAGGAACTTTCTTCTTTCCCAGCCCTTTCCTATTTCCTGTTCCATGGCCCTGCTCAAGGAGCTTCTCAGAGAGAAGAGAAAGGGCTTTCTCTCCTTCATTCTGGACACACCTGTGCTCTAAAGGGACCATCAAAGCTCAATTTCTCAGAGTCTTCTCAGAGGTAAATATCAATCATATTTTTCCCTCAACAGAATTAAGGAAATCAACCTTTGGATTTTCTTCTAGAACATGCTGTCCTGTTCTTAGCATTTCATCATGCTTGGATGACCTGGATGATCTCAAAGTGTTTTCAGTGGGTGGCACTGGCAGATTTGCTTGATTTATACTTAGCTATTAGATTTTCTGTCAAGACTTTGAGTCTATCAGGACTTTTGAGTCCCCAGTCCTCCAACCAACCTATTCTTTTCTTTCCTTGGTTCTACCAACTATCACTAAGTCTGTTAGAACAGTCTCTGTGGAACAAAGACGTTGCAGCCAGCGCTGGAAGTCACAGCTTTGTTCAGACTTTCCCCATTGCTCTCAGCACTATAAAGAACAGCCACCACTTTCCTTCTCACCAGTCCATGTCACCACCCATATAGAAATTTCTACAAATGCAACAATCACAGGAAAGTGGTCAGTTAAAATCTCACAGTTGCCCACTCTGACATGGGGGATGCTGGAAAAAAAGACCCAATATGTTGTGTGAGCCAAAACAGCATCACTCAGTAAATCAGAATAAAGTGGAACCCTGTTTAGTCTTGACTAAAGAGGTGTCATTTCTTGAACTGGCAAACATGCACCTTTAAACATTTTTCATTCCACTAAACTTATTTAGTGGCTTGCTAAGGGAATAGAGTATTTTTATATATTTTCATATCCACAGAGTCAAGCATTATACTTTGTACATAATGAGACTTCAAAAGGTATTTGTAACTCAATTCTCATTTTAAAAGATACTAGCTCTAAACCAAAGCTAAAATGTAGAATCATGATTTGTTTGGTTGTTTTCTAGAGCTCTAGTTGATGAACTTTAAGTCTATTTACCTCCTCGAATGATTTTCCACAGAAGGGGGTATTTACTGATTTGGCCAAGCTATTTCTTGTGCTTCTCCACTTGATCAAGACTTTCTATGTATGGTTTTTATCTTGGTATGATCTTTGGAAGACAGAAATTGTTCTTCTGTAGAGATCACATGGATCAATTCACTTATCTGAAGGTAGAGCAATCACATTTGTACATTTTTAACACAATCTCAAAGTTATTTGGTAGCAATTTACCAAAAGACTTTATATATTGCTTCCTCCCTATTCTACATATAGAACATGTCATTGGCAAATCCATTACCAATGACATAATCTCTTGTTTCTGTGAAATTTAAGATTGCTTCTTCCTTTCCAGAAATAAATGACTGTCTTGGCATGTAACTGAAATGATTATTCCTGGATCTCAGAAATGAGAAGTGTTGTAACATCTTAAAGCTATAACTTATAAGACTCATAGAGGGTAGAGTAGATCAAATTGAATCCTTCATTAGAAAGATGAAGACTCAGTGTCTCAGTACCAGAAAAATCCAGACAGCTAGCTGGGTTAAATAGCAAGATACAGCCACATGGACAGCTGAGTGGGTCAGCATCAATTTCTAGGTAGGTACCTCTGCTCTGCAGGAAAGTTTTGTGTTGAAATAGGCCCTCAGAATTGCATTTATAGGGCAGTTTACAAAAGACCCAGAAAACATTATCCATTCCAAAAACAATGGGGATGCTGATAATGAATTAGCATGTTTGTTCCCCACAAGAGACATCTGATACCCTTATTTGACACAGACACTGAGGTGTATTTGGTTTTAAATACACTCTTTATATTTCTTATCCACATGGACTTTCTGTTTAGCCAGAAATGGTGGGTGTTTCAACTACTATTGTTGGAATGCTTATCAACCTCTTAAAATATTTAAAGCATATAAAATTGTCCTTATTAAAAGGCATATCATTGCCTGGAGAGCAGAGAAAGTGCTGGTGAAAGAGTTGTTGAAAAGAGCAAAGCCTTTTGAGAAGGCACAATGTTAAATGGAAAGTATTCTTAAAACAAGTTGGTAGAGAAAGTGTATTTAGTTTGGAATTGAATTTGAACTCTGCACCCAGCACAGTAAGTTAAATTTTCTTTTTTTTTTTTTTAAACTTTTTTTTTATAGAGGCATGTTTTATTTATTTATTTATTTGTTTGTTTGTTTATTTGTTTGTTTGTTTTGTTTATACATGCACTGGGTACAGTCAGAAGCACGGGAGGGTGAGAGAATTCACCAGAGCCAGAGCGGGGAGCAGAGCAGGCAGAAGGACCGAAGGACACTGCTGAGGGGAGCAGCGGGCGGCAGGAGAGGTCTGCGCGCCATGTGGGACCCTCCTCCGGTGGCCGGGGAGCAGCCGGGGATGGAACCGGCGCCGCAGAGGCCGCGGGCAGCTTCGCAACCCAGCGCTCAACTGCTGTGCCACCGGGGAGGCCCTAAATTTTCAATAAATATTTCTGAAAGAATTATTGACAAACTTCTTAAAATCAGAATTATTACAACCTGATACTGTCTTTCAGGGATCACATTTTGAAAATCTCTCCATATTACACATTTAACAAATTAATACCGTTGAAACTCATAAATAAAAATAATCCTCATTATTTGGGAGATAATATCAGTAAATATCTATAAATCTAAATTTTGGTCCTAATAAGTGTGTGAGCTAGATTAAAGCCTTCTCCACTCCCTCCCCCAGGTCCAAGGCTCAGACAACTCTTTTACCTATTGGGCACCTATTTTTATTTTCATGTCACATTTAGGGCACAGCTATTCTTTGAGAACATTTTTTTTTTATATGATTCTTTAGGCAAGAATTAGTCATAATCTTGTATAGCAGTGACCATAGACATGGTTGGTCTTACCAGTCCTGAATTTGCCAACTGGCTCATAAAGCAACCAAATTCTCTGCCTTTCTCAGAGGAATGAAGTAGTGAATAAAAGAGAAAGCCAAAAGCTCTGAGTTTAAGCAGCAAAGAATGCCCCCTTGTGGTGAAGGAGAGAATGTCTTCATTCTGAATTGTTACTTCATCCTGGTGGCTTCCCAATTTAAGTGCAAACCTCTCTAGAGTTCCAAGTTGGCAGAATATTTGTCAAGTCTTCTTTTTGCCTTAGAGGTCTGTGGAGATCTTTGTGTTCTGAGAGAGAGAGATCGAGATGTATCTCTATAGATATCTAGGTATCTCTCTATAGATACAGGTAAATAAATACCATAAACATATATATAGATGTTCTGTTCTTTTCAATGGAGTTATATATTACATTGTATATATTTGTATGTATGTAAGCTTATTCTATATTTATATACAATTTATTAGTTTATTATATATACATATATGATTTATTACACGACATAAATATAAAACTCCATTGAATATATACGTAACTCCATTGAATATAAATATAAAAACTCCATTGAAAAGAATAGAACAGCTGTGTGTGTGTACATATATGTTTATGGTTTTATATAAACCATAAAATAACAGAGTTAGACACCTACCAACTTGTTACAGGGTTTCTTAAAGCACAGGCTCCAACCTTGCTCTGTACTCTCAATGAAGAAGCAAAGCTATGTGAGTGTAGCCGGTATTGCAAGGATACAGAGTGACTCCCAACTACATGAGGACCAAGAGCTCACCACAAAGGTAGACATGAGAGGTGACCAGACTGCAGCAAGGTCTGTAATTCAACGACTCCACATCGAGTTTGACCCACATACTACAGAAAAATCCCCAGAGAAATGTTGTGAAGGGGACAATTAGAAAACATGACAAGAAAAAGTGGATTCTATGGAAGGCAGCCCCTGCTCATTCTTATGCCTGACGTTGGGGAGATTTACTGACCACCGGTACTCAAGAGCATCTACCAGAGCTCCTGAGGCAGCAAGCAAAGCCACAGACCCAAGTCCTCCAGGCACCGAAGCCATCCTCTGGCGAGCTCTCTCCCACCACTGAGGGAAAACAACAAATACATCCACACACTGTTTCTTTCTGGTCCTGCCCAAGAATCTTCCCTGATTGGCCAAACAGGTTTGCCCTGGTGGAAGGAGAAAGATCTTTGGGGGATCAGAGACCAGTGAGGAAGGCAGAAGCCCTCAAGGAATAGCACAATTTTATCTTTTTGATGGGTGCGTGAAAAGTTTCCATGTCAGCCCTTAGCCCCTCTCAGATGTTATTGTGCAGTTAATTTCATTTAGGTAAATGGTGATGTTCATCATTTGTCACATGTCAGTTCTCACATATTTACTGACTCACTGTATTCCAGCCTTTGTGATGGATTCTGGGTATACAGAGATGAGTAATATATAATGTCTACCCTCCAGCTCAGAGTAGTGGGAGAGGTTGCACTGGACCCCAAATCTATGTTTGGGAGGTTATTATGGAATGACTTTTCTCTGCCAACTACTGTTGCTTCAATTGTCTAGTGAGGGAGTTGGATAAGAGTCCTTGAATCCATGGCCCTGCCTGCAGAGACCACTACCTGCAGAAGGACGTAACCCCTGCTGCCTCCTCTCAGCTTTGCTCAATGGATCCTGCAGGACAACTTGAAGGCCAGTGTTTCCAAACCATCCCCCAGCCTCTGCGCCTTGAGGCCACACTCCTCTTCCCTCAGGAGAGGATGAAATGTTCATGGGCAGCATCAGTAGGATTTACAAGTAGTAGGAAGGAGAAAAGATTAGAAAGGAAAGTGTTAAGTACCTGGGAAAGAAAAAAGGAAGTATAGGATGGCTATTAAATAAAGGAGAACACACACGCATGATCTTTCAGGCCTATGAAGCTCACTGAAGTTTATTGAAAAGTTTAAATAAGACATTTTAAATGCTACAAAGTAGTACTGCTCTGTTCACTCATATAAGCTGATATATATCAACCAATATTGTTGCTCACAGCAGCTAAAGTGGCTACAGCAGATAAAGCAGCTATATCAGAAGAACAGATCAATTATCATTCTGTACACTGACAGTTCTTTAAGGAAAGAAGGCTGTTAAAAAAAAAAAAAGCAGGGGAAAGTGAACATCCTGATACAGGGGCCAAGTCAGGAGCATTAATAACACGGACACACACAAAACTAATAAACAAGACAAATCCCTGAGCTTTAATCTTGAAACATTCACAACTATATTTTTCACATGCGAAAATGAACGAGGATACTAGTTCTCACAGGCAGCCTTAGGGCCTGTGACCAACATGTTATTGCTGACCTACAGCAGCTGGTGGGCAGAAGACATTCATTTCAAGAAAAATGGCACAACGGTCTCTCCACGGCACTTTTCTCCTCAAACCTGTGGAGTTGCGACCTGCTGCACTGTTTAAAGTTCATGAATATAAATGGTCCTGTGTATCAGTCTTCAAGTTATTTAGAGATAGCTGTTTTTTAAATGAGTGTAGTTAGTGTTTTGAAGATGTCAGGAAATAGCTTTGCTTGGTCTGAGCAATTAAAACATTTGTTAAGAAAAAGCTACCACAGTTCAGTTTGATAAAATTTATTAAGGGATCTTTACAAGTGGGCTCAATGAAATTGACTCAGCACCTACTGCCTGAGAACAAGAGAGAGTGCCAGCTAGACACCGAATACAAGGCTACTCGACTGGAGAGCCTTAAGGCAAGGAGATGAGAACTTGGTATTAGACACTGAACTGCCCTCAACTCAGCGTCCCTCTACTCAACAGTGGACAATACAGTTGAAAAATTTCAACAGGAATTAACATACCCTGTGTGGGGTTAAAATGACAATCTAGAATATTTTAAATTGTAAGGCTAAGCAGAGTGGTCACGACCTATTCACACATGAGTGGTGTTTCTCAAAGCCTTGGGGATTACACCATGATTGAGACACTTCCTTGAAATTCAGTGGTGATTGAACAAACAATAACTAGGCTACTGCATTTCTAATCCTAACTGCAGAGAATTGGACATCTTCAATGTCATCATTTTCTAGAACATCAAAATACAAGAGCCCAAGAAAAGAAAAGCAGGTGTTTTCAAGAAATAAAGCAAACAAATTTTAACAAGACTTGACCCCAGACTTGGTGGTAAATTACTTCAGTCTTTCTTTCACTGATATTTCCTCATTAGATTCACAATTTCACTATAGACCTGCCAAGGAGCATCTAAGCCCCAGATAAAGTCAAGGTGCTCCCACTTGGGAATGAACTTCTTGTACACCAGGTTGGGGATCTCAGACAGCAGCCAGCTGACGTCCTTGGTGTCTGCAAGCGTGTCATGGCCTCCACTCCAGACGGCAGTGGGCACCTGCATGTCCCTCACATTGTAACTTGGGGGATGACTCTACAATAAAAACCCATAAAAAGCTTTGTTGTTGTTGTTGTAATTAAAATCACAAGCAGCACAATTTGCATTCAACACAGATTGATATATTTGATCTGAGTATAAAAGACTAAATTTGAAAAAAGCTCAATTTACTTTTCAAATGTCCACTACCAGGACAAAAGGAAATTTAACCCACAGTGAGAGAGCATTAACTGGAATAACCACCAGTTGTCAAGCCGTCAGCCCGGGCCTGATATGAAGACAAGTGCTGAGTCCCTAAGAGGGTACCTTGGTCTCCCAGGCAGTGACTCAAAGCAGCAGAACTGAGTGGCCTTCAGTCCTGCCTCCCCCACTCTGCAGTGTAACATAAGTTATAGAAATTCTCTAATCCTGTTTCCTAAGTCAAAATAACCACATCTGCATCACAGACCTCTTGTAAGAATTAAATAAGAATAACAAGGGCAAAGGGCCTCACTCTTAAGAGCCCTTTAACACCCCAAAAATAGTCAATTTATTTGTACATACTCGAAGAGGCTTCTCGGCCCCAAAGGTTACCAGGTAACAGATTAGTTAGGTTACTAGTAACAGGCTACTCCCACTGACTGTCAAGTCTGTTCCTGATCACTGTGAATGATGCCTGGGTTGTCAGCAGAGCCAGGGAAGGATAGGGGAGACCCAGCCTACAACACCAACCACAAAGTTTGGGTTGTTCTGGAATAGACTGAGAAAAAACAAACACATCTTGTCAAGTCTCCCAAGCATTTCCCACACCATCACAGCCAGGCCAGAATCCTGATAAGTCAGGCTTCCTTTATGAGTGTTCAGGGGGCCATCAAAATTCTAAAGATTTTGGAGACTTTACCTGGTTATAATGAAAAAAGTTCTTGGCACGGCTTCCCCAGTCAAAGGCTTGGAATTTGCGTAGTGTATAAATCTAAAAAAGAAGATAATTTGGATAAAAGTTGTCTGACACAGAAGTCTGAGATAGTATCACAGGTTGCTAGCATTAGTCATATCCTCAGATATCAATTTATACCGATACCCAGATTTATACTTCATTTCCAAACTGTACTTTAAAACAGAAGGCATCTGGGCCTCCCTGGTGGCCTAGGGGTTAAGGCTCAGCACTATTACCACTAGGGCCTGAGTTCCATCCCCGGCCAGGGAGCTACCCACATGGCGCAGCAGACCTCTCCTGTCTAGCCTGCTGCTCCCCTCAGCAGTGTATTTCAGTCACTCTGCCTGTTCTGCTCCCCACTCTGCCTCTGGTGAATTCTCTCACCCCCCACACCTCTGGCCTGTACCCCAGTTCTTCTATGCATAAATAAAAAAAAAAAATGTCTCCTGCAACGTTGTTAAGAGCCTACCTAATGAACAATTTGTTTGTTTTAAGCAGTAGGTTTCAAACAATAGAGAACTCAACTGTAAAATGTAGATCCCAGGAACTTACTCCCAGGTATCTCGACTAAGTTACGGATAGGTCCAAGAAACCATATTTCTGATAGCACCCTAAATAATTCTGAACACTAAAGGGACACTAGGGCCAGTTTTTTTTTTTTTTTGAACAGGAAGGAGGACCCAGGCTCTGGGCATGGCAAGTGAGGAGGAAAGAGAATCAATTACAAGGGTCTCAGCTCTGAGGATCTCTGAAATTTGCCAGGTTTTTAAAGAGAGTAAGAAGATTTGTAAACTAAATTTAAAACCCAGTAAAGAATTCGGTTTTGGAATTGTTAAATTATTTACTTAAAATTAAACTTGTGAATATACTATGAATAAAAATGGATTTTAAAGGCACCCTCGAGCTCCTATCCCAGGAATCTCCAAATGTCACAACTGAACTTAAGCCTCAACCTGCCAGCACCCCTGTGGCCTGGACAGGCAGGGTGGCAGCTTCCAGCAACAGCCCAGAGTAGGAGCTGGCAAGGAGGCACAGGATTTTCATGCACCCCACCTGAACCCTGAAAACCTACCTGGCGCCAGTGCAAGACATTCTGCACGGACGTCCCAGCAGGATCGTGTGCAGCATACACAGCTACTCTAGACTGCAAAATACATTGGAATAAAGAGTGAAAATAGTGTCAGGAAGGTCTGGATAATAAACATATTTTTCACTTTAAAGCAATCTCACTCCCAGAGGTGCAATCTCAAATATATGAAATTATGAGCAGGAAAAAAATGTTTGACTCCAAGTATGTCAAAGAAATATACGTACAACTTGGCCTCCCTGGTGGCACAAGGGTTTAAGCACAGCACTGTGAAGCTGTCCTCAGCCACTGCAGCATGAGTTCGATCCCCGGCTGGCCAGGGAGCTACCCACATGGTGCAGCAGACCTCTCCTGTTTCACTCGCTGCTCCCCTCAGCAGTGTATTTCAGTCAGTCTGCCTGTTCTGTTCTCCACTCTGTCTCTGGTGAATCCTCTCACACCCTGCACTTCTGGCTTGCCTGTATCCCAGTTCTTGTATGCATAAACAAATAAATCTTTAAAAAAAAAAGAAATATATGCACAACCACACATGGACACATATGAAGGTGTAATATCTATGAGGCTATATGGGTTAAGACTACTGGTCATTCTTATGTTCTTCATAATTTTCTGAATTTCTAAAATTCCATATAACCATCACACCTCACTTTTATCATCAAGATAATAGCAGTGAGAAAAATTAATGTCCCTTTAAAAAATTCCTTGGAGCCTTCATTCTAGAATTTTAAAACCTGCCTTCAAATGCAAGATTATAAATTTCAAATATACTCAGACGCACCTGCATATTGCTGGTCAAGGAGTCACATTTTATAAAATTATTAAGTGCATACGTGTGTATATACACACATACATATGCTTGTTTGTTTATTTACTTATTTACTAACTATAAATGCCCCCCACCCCCGAACTTACACAGGAATTTTTTCAAGGAAAACAAGCCACTAAAGGGCCTCCCCGGTGGCGCAGCGGTTGAGCGCTGGGTTGTGAAACTGCCTGCAGCCTCTGCAGCCCTGGTTCAATCCACGGCTGCTCCCCGGCCACCAGAGGAGGGTCCCACATGGCGCGCAGACCTCTCCTGCCGCCCGCGGCTCCCCTCAGCAGTGTACTTCGGTCCTTCTGCCTGTTCTGCTCCCCGCTCTGGCTCTGGTGAATTCTCTCACCCTCCCGCGCTTCTGACTGTACCCAGTGCTTGTATAAATAAATAAATAAAATCTTAAAAAAAAAAAAAATCAAGCCACTAAATAGATATAAATACGATGATTTAAATTGTGACAGATCTCCTCATAAAACAGTTTCCAAAAGAGCAAATCAACATGGCTGCGAGGAAACTGCGAGTAAGACCTCCCCTAAAAAAAAGTTAATAGGGAGGAAAAGCGTCAGGTCCCTGTGAGAACTGGGACATGGAAGATAAAAGGGCAACTCTGGCAAACTGCCTGAAGAAGAAAGCTACCATAAAAGAGGACTAGAAGGGAGGAAAGCTCAGAACCTTGCTACCCTCCCCTACCCCAAAAGTCGGCACTCTCAGACCAACAGAAAGGAGGAAAAAAAAAAAACTAAAACAACCAACAAGAACAAACTATGCATCAAGCGGGACTGTGAGTGGAAAGGAACCATTTCAGGCACGGCACCCTGTGAACTGAAACTGTGGAGAACCATGCAGGAATTGCCTGGAGGTGAGCAAATGGCTCCAGGCGCCATTAGAGAAAAAAAAAAACGACTCCAAAGAGACCTACAAATAACCCAAGGCCAGGGCCTCTCCCCGCCCCCCCCCCCCCCTGGCTCAGAGGTTGAGCACTGAGCTGTGAAACTGCCAGCAGTCTCTGCAGCACCAGTTCGATCCCCGGCCACCAGCGAGGGTCCCACATGGCACCCAGACCTCTCCTGCAGCGCCTGCCACTCCCCTCAGCAGTGTATTTCATCAGTCTGACTGTTCTTTTCCCCACTCTGACACTGGTGAATTCTCTCACCCTCCCCCGCTTCTGACTGCACCCAGTGCTTGTATAAAGAAATAAATAAATCTTTTTAAAAAAATAGCCCAAGGCCAGCTGGTAAGCTTGTGTGGAAAAGCTGTGCACTCTATAAGCATAAGCAGATCACGGCTGCCCAGGTTCCCCGTGCCTGTGACCTAGGCTTGCCAGGAGACTTGCAGGAGCCCTCATTAAGGTGAATGTCCCTCACTGAGTAATCAGAAACCAGGCACCTGGACACAGGAGCCCGGTGCAAAAGGCACCATTTCTGCAGACAGTGAACTGGGCTACATCCCAAATCCTGGATCTGAGGGCTTTGGAACTGAGATCCGGGGCACAAAATTCAGGGCGTGGGATCCCCACAACAGTGGGGCACAGGGCAGACACAGCACCCCCATGCCGTTGAGGCGCTCCATGCCACTCCCACTCTGTTCCCCCGACCCACGGGGGGGGAAAAAAACAGTTCTGGAAGGACACCAGGAAAGATCTCTGGCACCACCTTAGTGACCAGAAAAAAATCACCAACATCCTATAGTTGGAAAGCAGGGGTCCCCAAAACATCCTCAGGCTCTGAGAGAGGGTGGGCCCCCCAGCAGAGGTAAGGAGGGAAATAAGGCATGGAGCAAGACCCCATTTTGGAAATGATTGCCAGGCACAGGATCCTGGGCGTGGAACGCATCATAGCAGAGTGCACTACGCAGGGTGACAGCCAGCATTTTGGATCTGATAGCCCTGGAACTGAGACCTATAGAGCAGTATTCAGGGTGCGGGATCCATACAGCTGTGGGCACAGCACCAGGTGAACACGGGGCAGACACAGCACCCAGCTTGAATAAATGCCCCTGTGTTGAGGTGCTCCCCTCTGCCCCCACTCCGTTACTCAGAGAACCACTGGGAAAAAGCACAGGTCAGCAAGTATGGGTCTCTGGTGCCACCTCATGACCAGAACTAAATCACCAACTAGCTGATTCCCTGTTGGAACTGACTAAATACAGATGGAAGGAACTGTAAGGGACAGTGCCCAGCAACACATCATCAACACCCTGGTGGAGTTTTGGCCTATCAGTGCTGGTCTCAGTCTGGTAAACAGTTTCCAACACCCCTAAAGGAGCACTCCAAAGAGATGCCCGCCAACACCAGTGGCACAACGTTCCAATGCATAGAACTAATTAGAAAGCAAACAACAGGGAGAAGAAAAAATATAAATAACCAAGCAAGCCTACAGGAGGACACACCACAAAAAGAAATACAGTCACCAGAGCTCAACAATGACATGGAAGAACTTCTTGGCCTATCAGATAGAGAATTAATAATTATCATGATTAAAAACCAGAAAGAAAACAAAAAAGAAAAAAATGATTTGAGACAAATAATCACTGAACTGAAGAATGAAATTGAGACCTTAAGAAAGGAAAGAAAAGGGCCTCCCCGGTGGTGCAGCGGTTGAGTGCTGGGTTGCGAAACTGCCCGCGGCCTCTGCAGTGCCGGTTCGATCCCCGGCTGCTCCCCGGCCACCGGAGGAGGGTCCCACATGGCGCGCGGACCTCTCCTGCTGCCGGACCTCTCCTGCTGCCTGCTGCTCCCCTCAGCAGTGTACTTCGGTCCTTCTGTCTGCTCTGCTCCCCGCTCTGGCTATGGTGAATTCTCTCACCCTCCCGCGCTTCTGACTGTACCCAGTGCATGTATAAACAAACAAATAAAATAAATAAATAAATAAAACATGCCTCTATTTAAAAAAAAAAAAAGGAAAGAAAAGAAACGCAGGAGATAAAAAGATTACTAGAAGAGATAAAGAACTCTGGGGAAAGCAATGAAAACAGAATTGAGGAAATGGAAGAACGGATCAGTACTATTGAAGATACAGAAATAAAAAGAGCCAAAAGAGAGGAAAGAGAAGTGCAAATGAAGCAGTATGAGGAGACTCTTAGACAATTATCAGACTCATGAAGAGAGGAAATGTAAGAGTTACAGGCATTCCAGAAGGTAAGGAGAGAGACAAAGGAATTGAGAAGTTATTCAAGGAGATAATTGAAGAAAACTTCCCAAGCATGAAAAAGGAGATGAATATAGACATACAAGAAGTGAAAAGAACTCCCAATTACCATAATGAAAAGAAAACTACAGCAAGACACCTAATAGTAAAGCTTGCAAGAGTCCAAGACAAGGAAAAAATAATGAAACTGGCAAGGGGGATAACTTATAAGGGAAAACCAATCAGGTTAACTTCAGACTTCTCCGAAGAAACATTATGAACAAGAAGAGAATGGAGTAATATATTCAGCAAACTTTAAGACAGCAAATGCCAACCAAGAATACTTTATCCTGCAAAGCTCTCCTTCCTCTACGAAGAAAAAATATGGACCTTCTCAGACAAAGAGAAACTCCAGAAATTCATTACAACTAAACCCCCAGTACAAAAAAATTCTATAAGAAGTTCTAAAGCCACAACTGACAGAGGAATGAACAAGAAGAACAGAATAAAGCAAGGAATAAAATCACAAAAAAGACAAACAAAATGGCAAACACAGATGTCAACATATCAATATTAATGCTAAATGTAAATGGATTAAACTCATCAATAAAAAGACACAGAGTAGCAGGCTGGATTAAAAAACAAAATCCAACTGTCTAATGTCTCCAGGAAACACATTAAACCACAAAAGACAAACACAGACTGAAAGTAAAAGGTTGGAAAACACTACAAGCAAATGGACCAAAAAGGAAGGCAGGAATAGCCATACTTATATGAGATGAAGTAGACTTCAAATTAAAAAAGCTAAAAAGAGACATAGATGGAAACTACATTATGATCAAGAGGACAATACACCAGGAAGATATAAAACTCATCAACATATACTCACTAAATGAAGGGGCACCAAAATATATTAGACAATTACTATCAGCTCTGAAAACAGATATTAAAGAAAATACATATACAGTGGAAGTCTTCAACACCCCACTCTCACCAATGGACAGATCAACGAGACAAAAAATAAACAAAAGCACTAGAGCCCTAAATAAAGACAGAGAACTCATGGACTTAACAGACATCTATAGGACACTGCACCCAAAAAAATCCAAGTACACATTTTTCTCAAGTGTGCATGGATCATTCTCCAGAATCGATTACATATTGGGCCACAAGACAAACATCAACAGATACACGAAAATCAAAATCATTCCAACTATCTTCTCCGATCATAAAGGCATCATGCTAGAAATAAATCATGAAAAGAAAACAAGGAACCCTCCGACTTCATGGAGACAGAAATCCACACTACTGGAAGACCACTGGACTAATGAGGAGATCAAAGAAGAAATTAAAAAATACTTTGAATTGAACGACAAGGACACCACCTTCCAGAATGTATGGGATGTAGCAAAAGCATTAATAAGAGGAAAATATATAGCAATACAGGCTCACATCAACAAACAAGAAAGAACTCAAAGAAACAACCTAATCTCACAACTCAAAGAGCTAGAAAAAGAACAACAACAAAAAAAAAAACCTAAAGCCAGTAGAAGAAAGGAAATAATAAAAATCAAAGCAGAAATAAATGAATTGGAAATTAAAAAAACAATCCAAAGATCAATGAAACCAAAAGTTGGTTCTTTGAAAAAATAGACAAACCTCTAGCAAGGCTCACAAAGAAAAAATGGGAGAAAACACATATAAATAGGATTATAAATGAAAGAGGAGGAAATGCAACACTCAGTAGAAATCAAAAGAATAATCAGAGATTACTATGAACACCTATATGCAAACAAATTCAACAACCTAGAAGAGATGGACAAATTCCTAGAATAATATAATCATCCAAAGCTGGACAAAGAAGATATAGAACAACTAAACAGACCAATTACAAGCAGTGAAATTGAGGCAGTAATCAAAGCACTCCCCAAAAACAAAAGCCCAGGCCCATACGGGTTCACAAATGTATTCCACCAAACGTTCAGCAGTGAATTAGTGCCTATCCTACACAAACTCTTTCAAAAAATTGAAAAAGAAGGAACACTACCAAATACGTTCTACGAAGCCAACATTACACTACTACCAAAACCCAACAAAGACAGCACAAAAAAAGAAAATTACAGGCCAATCTCCCTAATGAACACTGATGCAAAAATCCTCAACAAAATCCTTGCCAACAGAATCCAACAATGTATCCATAAGATAATTCACCACGACCAAGTAGGATTTATTCCAGGGACACAGGATGGTTCACCATCAGAAAATCAATCAATGTAATCCAACACATCAACAAAAAGAAATATAAAAACCATTATGATAATATCCATAGATGCTGAGAAAGCATTCGACAAAGTACAACACCCATTTATGATAAAGGCCCTTGAAATTCTTGGGATATAAGGAACACACTTCAACATCATAAAGGCCATATATGACAAGCACACAGCCAATATCATTCTCAATGGTGAAAAAGCTGAAAGCATTCCCATTAAGAACTGGAAAAAGACAAGGATGTCCACTCTCACCACTGCTTTTCAACATAATACTGGAAGTCCTAGCCAGAGCAATAAGACAAGAGAAAGACATACAAGGAATCCAAATAGGCAAGGAAGAAGTCAAACTATCACTATTCACAGATGATATAATATACATAGAGAACCCCAAAAACTCCACAGAAAAACTAAATTAATCAATCAGTTTAGTAAAGTGGCAGGATACAAAGTCAACACACAAAAATCAGTAGCCTTCCTATACACAAACAATAAATCTGAAGAAGAAATCAAGAAAACCATTCCTTTTATTATTGAAACAAAAAAATTCAAATACTTGGGAATAAACCTAACGAAGGAAGTAAAGGACCTATACAAAGAAAACTATAAAACACTGTTAAAAGAAATAGAAGAGGACACAAAGAAATGGAAAGACATCCCCTGCTCATGGATTGGAAGAATTAACATTATCAAAATGGCCATCCTACCAAAAGCAATCCACAGATTCAATGCTATTCCAATTAAAATTTCAATGTCATTCTTCACGGAAATAGAAAAAATACTGATGAAACTCATATGGAGCCACCAAAAACCCTGAATAGCCAAAACCCTCCTGAAAAAAAAAAAAAAGAAGGAAATGGAGGCATCACTCTCCCAGATTTCAAACTATACCAAAAAGCCATAATAATCAAAACTGCATGATGGTATTGGAACACGAACAGACACACGGACCAATGGAACCAAACAGAAAACCCAGAAATAAACCCACAGATTTATGGTCACCTAATCTTAGAACAAAGGAGCAAAGAATATGCACTGGAGCAAAGAAAGTTTGCTCAATAAATGGTGCTGGGAAAACTGGGTCACTATATGCAAAAGAATGAAACTTGACTACTACCTCACACCATGCACACAAACCAACTCAAAATGGATGAAAGAACTAGACATAAGACCTGAAACCATAAAATATATAGAAGGAAATATAGGTGAAACACTACATGACATGCACCTCAAAGACATCTTTACAGACATATCACCCAAAGCAGTGATAGTGAAGCCAAAGATAAATAGCTGGTACTACATCAAATTAAAGAGCTTCTGCACAGCAAAAGAGACAATAACAAAAACAGAGAAAAATCCCACCGACTGGGAGAACATTTTTGCACACAACACTAATGATAAAGGACTGATCACAAAAACCTACAAAGAGCTGATGAGACTCAACAAAGACAAAGAAAATAATCCAGTCAAAAAATGGGCAGAAGAGCTAAAAAGAAACTTCTCCAAAGAGGAAATGCAAATGGCCAACAGGCATATGAAAAAATGTTCAACATCACTTGTAGTCAGGGAAATGCAAATCAAAACTACAATGAGACCATCTTACACCAGTGAGAATGGCACATATTTAAAAAACTAGCAACAACAAATGTTGGCGAGGATGTGGAGAAAAAGGAACTCTCCTGCACTGCTGGTGAGAGTGCAAACTGGTCCAACCACTATGGAGAGCTGTGTGGAGATTCCTCAACCTACTAAAGATAGAGCTTCCATATGATCCAGCAGTTCCACTCCTAGGTATTTACCCAAATCACACAGAAACATTAATTCCAAAGGGCACCTACACCCCTATGTTTATAGCAGCACTATTTACACTAGCTAAGCTTTGGAAACAACTCAAATGCCCAAAAATAGATGACTGGATCAAGAAGATGTGGCACATATACACAATGGAATATTACTCAGGAATCAAAAAAGATAAACACATGCAATTTGCAGCAACATGCATGGAGCTAGAAGGGATCATGCTCAGCGAAATAAGCCAGAAGGAAAAAGAAAAATACCGGATGGTCTTACTTACAAGAATAACTATAAGAAAGAAAAAATCAAAATCAACAACTATAAACCAGACACACTATGGGGGTGGGGGCAGGGAAAGAGGGATTGGGGTCAAAATAAGGGGGTGCAATTCAATGGGGAATATAAAAATAAATAAATTATTTAAATAAATAAATAAATAAATAAATAAATAAATAAATAAATAAATAAATACATAAATAAATAAATAAAATAGTTTCCACACAAGCACAATGCAGGAGGCTGACAATGGGCAACCTGGCAATAGCAGTAGGTGCTGTTCCAGGTACAGATGCTATTCCAGGAACTTGCTGGCATTGATTCCTATACCTCTTAAATGAAATGTCTTTCAGTGTTCTAATGAGGTCATTCGAAGGTCTCCCACATCTTCCAACACAAGTAAGGAATTCACAGATAAAATTAAATCATTGTAAGTTTAAAGTGCATGTTATTATTGCATACATACCATATTTAAATTCCTTTCATTAAATCCACACAGAAGAAAAAACATATTTCCACAAAGCTCCTTCAAAATGACATGAGTACAAATGTGTGTGCTCAGCCACCTCAAAAACTCAGACTGGGGAAGAAACTCTTTGTTCCCAAGTATGTCCTACAAAATAAAGAGAAACAGGCAGCTATGTCAGCATTTCATTCAGGTGCACAAGACTCCAGGGCCCCCTTGCAGAGGACAGTAGAGACATATCCCAAGGGTCCCCAGAGACAGCTACGGTAGAGAAATGGCAACTGGTGGATGTTTAAACTAGGCAATCCACACAATACGCTCACTAAGGCAAAAGCACGCTTCACACAGGTTAAAGTCTCCAAATGAAGAAAAGGAAGCAGAAAATCAGATGAGCTTAGAGCAGACTTTTAGTGGGAAGGCCTCACTCATCCCAGGGTCATGCACAAAGAGCTTCATCTGACTGGAGGACCAGAGCGGCCCCCAAAAAAAAGTGGAAAGTGGGATTGAGCAGCAGTGCATCTGCCGAGGGCACATACATCTAACCCTAAACCCAACTCACTGCCTGCTGGTTTTTCAATACTTATTGTGGCAGAGCACACATAACACAAAATTTACTATTTTAACCAATTTTAAGTGTTCAGTTAAGTGGCATTAAATACAACCATCACTATCATCCATCTCCAGAAACTTTTCAGCTCAAATGGAAATCTGTAAACATAAAGTAATAACTCCCCCCTTCATGTCCCTGCACTGTCTGCTTTCCGTATACAAAATTATACTGGAACATAGTCATGCTCATTCTACACGCGTTGTCTCTGGCTGTTTCTGGTGCTACAATGACAGAGGGGAGCAGTTGCAGCAGAGACTATGAGGCCCACAAAGTAAAAAATTTACTATCTGGATCCTGGGAAAAAAAAAAAAGTGAGTAGATCTTGGCCTCCACCAGCCCTGAGCACAGCCACTGAAACTGCGTACAAGCATTAATGAGGCAATGACTCTACCCCTCGAGGCAGATTTTATGTACTCGTGCAACAGGCTCACAAAAGACCTGCCTTACATTACACCCTTAAAATTTACCCTTTCGCTGATGCCTAGAGGGACAAGTGAGAGTGAAATATTCAAAGGACTACAAAAGCAGTTTTATGGGTTGAACGGTGCACTCTTCTCTCCCACCACCCCTGCAAAAAGAGAAAAGTTGAAGCCTGAGCCCTCTGCATCTGTAAAGACCCTGGAGACAGCAATCAAACTAAAATGAGGTCATTAAGGTCAGCCCTCGTGCAGTATGACTGGGGTGCTTATAGAACAGGGGAGTCTGAGTAGTCACACATACACACATGGAGAATGTCGTATAAGGAAGATGGCAGAAACTGGGGCGATGCCTCTACAAGCCAAGGGAAGCCAAGAAAACCACCAGAAGCTAGGGAAGAGTCACGGAACAGAGTCTTCCCATAAACACACATGGCAGGCATGTGAATATAAATGAGTGAGACAGCAAAGTGAAAATGAGAACTAGGGAGAGCTGAGAACTGTGGTGAACTGAAAGCTTATGTTTGGCGTAACGTATGCAACTGCCCTATGGTACTCAATCTCCCTACCCTGCACCCTAAATTACCAATCTTCAAGATGTCAGTTAAATATCCCAGTTTTTAAAGTGTATAACATTGTATGAGATATATTCAACATTCCTTCAGCCTAATCTAGCCTGGTCCACTAATAGAGAGCCTGTGATCTCTGTCAAATCCTAATCAATATCCTAGGACAGATACCAGCCAGTCTCCTTGAAAGCCCCTCTCCAGAATAATTATGCTAAGATTAGCAGGGGAGAACCAGAAAGCAAACACCACCTGCAGAACAGGTCATGTGACATGAAAAGCTATCAGATAAAAAACTCTTGGCTTTGAGTTTATATAATGGACATGTAATAAATACATATATTTCTTAGGTTTTCCACTAAAAACCAGCTAACAGGATGATGCATCATTGACTTAAATCAAAATGCTGTGAGGTTGACCTTGAACTTGACAACTGTTACCCAAACTCCTAATTGGCAAATTTCACTAAAAATGTGTCAAAGTAGGACAGTATATACAGAAAAAGAAAAATTCATCGTACACATTTACAGGCCTGCTCAAACAAAGTTTGATGTCTTTAAAACCCATACTTTTGAATTTTGAGAATTAGAGAGGATAATTAATGTTCATGGAAGTAAAATATACTTCCCAGGGCAGCTGTTTCAAAACATTTTATGTGTAGTCCTTCTTTCACTCCCAGGATATAATAAAACACCATGGTCTGGAACAGTGATCCCCAAATAATAGTCTGTTCAGTCAACATTAGAACCCCCTCCTCCGCAAAAAAAAAAAAAAAAAAAAAAAAAAAAAATTTAACTCAACACCATCTCCAAAGCAGGAGCTAAAGAAGGGGGGTTTATGTTTATATAAAGCTACTAAATCACAATCTCCAAGGATTAAAGCAATATTATCCCTATGGAGTGGCAATTTCACTTGGACACTGGGCAGGTATACCAAAAAAGGTCACAAAAAAAGCAACACCAAATTAGCAACAATCTGTCAACCACAGGAGTAGTTCCTTACAAAGAAAAATTGAGTGTGCAGCAGTTAAAAGGGATATGATAGAGTTTATCTATTAATATGATAATTTGTCAAGAATGAAAAATGCAATGGGCAAAAATATATATAGTTGGGTACCCTCTACATTTAAGCAAAACATTTCTCTCCAAATCTACAAGTGCATTCATACACGAGGTCTCTAGGAAAAGGCAAACTGAGCACTGTGCTAAATTCTGAGGAAAGCACAAAGAGAAACCTTGGAAGTTGAAGGGTGCTTTATTCATAACTTGCTTGTTTTTTAAGACAATCCATGCTTTTATTACCCAACCCAAGTTTGGTAAGTTTGGTTAGAGTGGTTGGATCTTATCCGTGTGTCTGGTCACTGTGCAGAGAATCCCATCTTATGTGAGAACCAGATCCTGAGATCAGAGAATAATCTTATTTCCATGAAAGTCTCTTAAATGGCATGTGATCTACATTATATCTGACTTTAATACATGTTCCTGTATGGAATTATATATACAAATGTACCATACACAGAATGTAGCACATGCATAATGGACCATTGGGCCTCAGTTGGCTCTGAACTTATAAAAGCTGTTTTTTAAACAGAGTTTGGATGTCACGTAGCTCTAGAGCCGAACTGCAGGCACTGATTGGCTTGTGTTTAGGGGCCACATATCATAAATATAACAGCAACAGTGTCTTTCCATCACACCATGATCCCGGCTATGGCCAGGCACAGGCAATTGGGAACAGAGCATTTCCTGTCTCCTACTTTCTGCCTACAAGCTACCCCCCATCCCCGCCCCAGCTCACCACTGAATAAAGGGTAACACCCAGGAAGGTTAAAACTATCTTCTCCTAGACTCTCCCAATGTTCTCATTGTACGGTAGGTGGTACATTAACCAAAGAACATGGGGTTCCAGTGCAAAGTTACTGATACACCTTCCAGGACATCCTAGGATCTATATAGAAGTAGAGGTACAGGGGGAAGAAAACTCAGGGAGAGAAGAAATCCCACTGCCCCACTGATAGAAAAACACAGAAGTGAGGCACAGATTCTCCCTCTAATGGCCAAGCCTTCAGATCTGAAAAGAAAAGGAAATTGGTGGGGTGGGGAGGGGATGGGGTGGTCAATGTACCTTAAGGATAAATTCTGGAATTTGTCCAAATACAGTTAGAAGGCCAGTAGTGTGGTTGGCTGAAGCCACAGGGGCCAGGGCAAAAAACACTTTAATCTTTTTGGCCAGCTCAGGTATCCGTGAAAATGCTATGAAACCTGTGGGAATAAAAAGAAGATAACTGGAATATTCCATCTTCAGGAATACTTTCTCTGAAAAAGCAAGGGTGGACCTGCATGCCGCCCTCTAGTGGCACCTATGAGCAGTGCCAGCAAGGCCACCACCAGGAGGCCAAATACTCCAACCGGAGCCCTTTGAAGGACTGTGTGCACACAGTTTTATTAAACCAGCAAGTCAAGTATTTGTTAAGTGCTTGTTTCTGATTTCAACATAGATATACAGTGATAAAAATTCAGCTTGCTAGAACCATCAGATCCTCACTGCCTTTAATAATGCACGCTGAACAAAGGAAAAGCTATATTTCTAATGGCTCCATACCCAGCTCTTCCCAGCTTCAGTGTTCATCCCTCCATCCCTAAGAACAATTTACAGAAGCATTTAAATCCATCACTGATGCCTCAAAGGAAACTTACATGTTTAGACTGCCCTAGCTTTAAAATATCTAATCACTTCCTCCCAAATCACTTCTCATCTTAAACTTGGTGCCAGAGTGTCACTTTAGAAAGCTGGGAGGCCAAGGCCCACGTGGACAAGGCATGGAAGAGGGGGTGATATAAAACAACAATAAAAGAGAAAATGCTTAACTCCATTAATAAGGAAGACAAATGCAGTCATGTTACTTTTTGATCTGCAACCTTCAAGCTACAAGGGAGTTTGGTGGTCCTGATAGTAAAGCAACTGAACCACATATATCAAGACACTTAAAAGCATTCATACTTGTAGCAATTCTTCTAGGAATACATTCTAAGGTCATGTGTGATGAATACAAAGGTGTTAGTCACAGTAAACACCAAAGGGGAGCATTAAATACAAATCCCCTTCCATAATCTAGGAACTCCTGCTTCCTACAATCATAGGCAAATTTTATTTTTTTTAAACTAGTAAACTTTCAATTTTTGTTTACAATGAATACACATGACTTTTATAACCAGCATAAATTTAAGAATGCACAGGACTTTTAAAGTCAGTAAACTTTCTTGTTCTCTTTTTTAATCTCTGCAATTATAAAACTTCTTGGCTTCTACCCTTTCTTATCCCCTATTGCTTAAGGAGGAAAATATATGCTAGGCTGTGGCTTACACTAATCTCTTCAAAGTCGAGGTAACACATGCCATACGTTAGGTCAGAATTTTGAGAGAAGATGAAATATCACTGAAATTGCTTTTCCTATTCATGAATGCGGAGCATTAAAGATCAAAAACTATTCGAACATTTTCACTCTTAAGAACTTGTAACAGGGGCCTCCCCAGTGGCTCAGCGGGTTGAGTGCAGTGCTGTGAAGCTGTCCACAGCCTCTGCAGCGCAGGTTCGATTTCCGGCCAGACGGGAAGATTCCCACATGGCGCGGCAGACCTCTCCTGTCTTGCCTGCTCCTCCCCTCAGCAGTGTATTTCGGTCGGTCTGCCTATTTGGCTCTCTGCTCTGTCTCTGGTGAATCTTCTCACCCTCCCGCACCTCTGGACTATATAAGCTCTTGTATAAAAGTAAATAAATCTTTAAAAAAAAAAATAACTTGCAAAAAAACATTCTCTCAACTTCCAGTACTTACTGCATACATACCTATTGAGGTGCCTTGAGAGTGGCCCACATAAAATAACTGTTTTTGACCAGTTTTATTGAGAACAAAGTTAACTGAAGCTGATAGGTCATATTCTGCCATCTCATCGAAACTATAGTCCAAAAAAAGAAATGCATGAGACACTGTGCACAAACACAAGAGCCCACAAATATATAATATGCACAGTTCGAGGATCTATCACAAACCAACCACAACTGGGTGAGGTAGCACAGAGCACAGGATCTCAAAAGCCTCTTCGGCCTCCCTTCTCACCACGCCTCCCCAAGGGAACCATTGTTCTCATTTTTACACCTTAAATTAGGTTTTACCCATTTTGAACTTTTCTATTTCTGGGACTAAACACTATTCTCCTGTACCTGGCTTCATCCAGGCTGTCACATACAGTCTTAGGCTGTTTATAATGTTGATTTATCCACCTTACGATGCCCATTTACTGCTAATGGACATTTGGCGGTTTCCAACTTTTCGCTACTACAAACAGTGTGACAATAAAAATATTCTTGTATGTGCCTTTTGGTAAAGGTCTCACTCATGTGTTTCGGGTCGTTAGTTTAGCTCCAGCTTGACAAATGAGAAGCAACCCTGTAAGAGCCACAGCACATGTCGGCACCCTGTGCCAAGACCCAGCCCTGAAGCCATGCGTGTGCGCATGTGTCGTCAGCAAGCAGTGGAGCAACTGTTTCCACCACTGACCAGGGGCCAGGTTCTCTCCCTGTAACCTCTCTTCTCACCCATCAATCACTCTATGACATATGTACTGATTTTCCTCACTTTAAAAAAAGGAAACAGACATGGAGGGCTATGTAGCATGTCCAATGTCACAGGGTGATTAACTGGTAGAGCCAGATCTAAGAGAAGGAAGAAAATTTCTGGAATTTCTGTAACAGAAAGGTGTCTATGTTTATGGAACAAGATTGTGACCCAATTTAGCCAGCAGCATTCACACTACCAGGAATGCCAAAATAACTAAGTATTCCTACTCAAGCCTATCTTAAATGTAATCATTTACTTATCCTTTACCTTAACTGCTTTGTATTAAATTCCTAACAAGGTTCCAAATCTTTCATGAGTCATCAGTTTCCCCTCACAGATCTTCCGTTACTCATCTTTCTGCCTCCCCATTTGTCTACATTAAGCCACTAAGGAAAGAGGACCCTGTCATATTCCATCCTGATATACCTGAAGGCCCAGAACTCCTCCTGAGAAACTGAAAGAGTCTTGTGTTTCCGAGACCAGGTGTTTCCCCTGCTGTTCCCCATCCACACATCAAAGCCAGCATCTGCCAGAATGAAGCCCAGGCTGTTGTTGGGCAGGTTGGTGATCCAGTTGCTAGAATCTGCCAGCAAGCCATGCTGCAGGAAAACCACTGGTTTGGGACCTGAAAAAAACATTCATCGTTAGGAGTTAGCAGCACCTAGCTTCAAAATATAACCTACTACACAGGTAATAAAAGACACTAAAGCATATCAGAACATTAAGGATGCAATGTATTCCTAAATAGCAGGAGCTTTTTAAAACAAAGCTGGTAAGGTAACAGGAAGACTGAACTGGCAATAAGACACACTGACTGAAACATCAAAAAAATTCTTACTATATTCTTAAAAACTTATGAAATGTTTCTAAACTTTGCTTCAGTAATTGTATTTATACTTCTCACAATGTATCCTAACAAGACAAACCAAAAGAAATACAATCACACAAATTCATAAACACATACGTATTTCTGTACACACAGAGATTTATTTCCTACTCACCTGTGGCACTGAGGTAGTAGAGAAAACACAGAGTTGGGAGCTGAAAAACTATGACCTTAGGCTGCTAACCACATTGTTACCTTGCATGCAGACCACTCCTTCGGTCATTAAACATTTACTGCGTGCCAACTATGGGCAAAGCTTTCTTCATAAGAGAAGAAAAGCAGGAGGGAAAAAACTCCTGGAGCAGACACTACACAGACCATGAGTTTCAGAAGCAGAGAAACCTGGGTTCAAATCTGTCTTCTCCAAGTGCTGATGTGCTACCTTGGGCCAGGTATTTCAACATCTCCCAGAATTTATTGCATCCTCTGAAGCTTGGTATGAAATATGTACCTTACAGGGAGTAATAACAATGGGTTATTATATGAAAAGTTCTTGGCAAAGTGTCCAATGCACAGGAAGAGTTCAAAAAGCATTAGCCCGTGTTAAGTGGCTTGAGCAGTCTGTCTCATGCCCATAAATAAGTGTTAAAAAAGGAGTAAGTGAGAAAATTAGCTGTCTGGCAGGGGCTAATGAACAATTAGCACTTCTTTTGCCTGCTGCCCAATTTGTATAATAGCGAAATCCTGGACATAAGCATGGTATTGCGGGGTCAAATAATACTTGCATCACTTGATGGAATAGTTGAGCAGTCAATATGGCAAGGACGGGGGCAGCACACAAAGAGGTATAACCTGGCTTTGAAGGAAGGGAAAAAAGTGAAGTACAAAGTCATAGACTACTCTTGTTACAGCCATGCAAAAGAAAAGCATGCAAGTGGGAATATAAAACATCAAAGAAAGCTTTGCCAGGACTAGTCAGATGGGAAGTGAACTGAACAAGTTTTATTTCTGTTAATGTCCTTCAATGGATTTGGTAAATAATAAATTGTTTTGTACAAGACTGTTCCTCCCTTGATGACCCCAGGGAGCACTGGAAACATGATTGGAATCCCTGGAGCTAGGCAATATGAGGCGCTGCTGCTGCCAGGTTGTTAAAATAGACCCACAAGCAAAGGTTCAAAGTCACTCCCATGCTTTTCTTTTTTTTTTTTAAATATTTATTTATTTATGCATACAAGTACTGAGGTACAGGCCAAAAGTGCAGGGGTCAAAGGATTCACCAGAGACAGAGTAGGAAACAGAACAGGCAGACAGACTGAAGTACACTGCTTAGAGGTACAGTAGGCAAGACAGTAGAGGTCTGCTGTGCCATGTGGGTCACCTCCCTGACTGGGGATCGAACTCACGCTACAGTGGCTGCCATAGCTTCATAGTGTTGTGCTTAACTCCTTGTGCCACCAGGGAGGTCCCTACTCCCACGCTTTATAATCACAAAACAGAGCAGGCTTTGCCCTGCTAGAGCCTCTCATATACTCGCAGGAGGGGGATAGAAACAAACCAAAATAGGGGCAGCTTTATATGTATTTCTTTAGCTGCAAATGTTCATTTTAGTGTTTCCTTAATAAGACTAAATTTACTGTGAAAGTTCTACGTACAAGGCACAGGGGAAGACAGAGCATTTTATAAGGAGCAGGGCTCCATGTCTCCAATGCAGACACTAATCCAGGTAGGGAAATAAGAAAAATCACAAAAAGTTCAAAACTATAAACTCAAGTGGCAATGATAATTACTGACATTAATTCATCACTGAATTGTAGTTGATGAGATGTGTTTTAAATGATGGTTCCCCCAGAGCGGGGCTACTGCACTAGATGACAGGAGGCAGCGTGCCCTGACATGACCTGGGAAGGTGCCAGGAGCTGCTAATATTTTCCTTCAGCACATTAAGATGTTTTCCCACCCCCCATCTTGGTACTTTGGGGATGTAGTTGGGTACCCACCAAATGAAAGTGACTATACAGAGATAAAGAGAACACAGCTACACACACACATGTGTAGACTCCAGAATGGCAACAAAACCACCTAGTGTATGAAGGAGGTGGGGGCGCTGTGGACACCCATAATAGAGAAAGGGAGTGAACTGAAGCCACTTTTTTCCTAAGTCTTCTTTTTTGGGGGGAGTGGGGCGCAGAGAGGGGACTCCTCCATCTCTTACCTCAAGCTCAATACAATTGCTCAACAACCAACAGGTACAAAAGATGGTGCCAGCTAGGAAGGAAATGTTAGATTTGTTCTTTTAAAACTAGCTGTTTTCAAATCTGGAGGATCTGAGCCAAAAATTGAGACAGGTACTGCACACCCCAAAATGCCAGCAGGTGAGGAAAGGTAAGACAGGAGGGCAAATGACTGATAAGTGGTTTACCCTTCCTGCAGCCTTGGGACACTCTGCTATGCCCTATTCATTCATTTGAAGACTTATTTTTTACTGAGAATCTGCTGTATTTGTATAGAAATCTAAAAATCAAGAAGTGATTACAAATACACATTACATCTTCTGTAAACCTTTACTGGTGCTTACTATGGATTATCCATGGTGATAGATGTGGGGGACACACGGGGCAGACTACCTCCTTCCTGCAAGAGGCTCCATTCCAGTTGAAGATACACATGATCACCTTCTAGCTAAGAGTGAAAAGCCCAGAACACGGGGCAGGATAGTCCAGAGGAAAGAGAGTTACTCAGCGTGGGGGTGAGATATCTGAGCAGGAGCTTAAGTAAGAGACAGATTGCCTCACAAAGGGTTTCGGTGAAGCAACAGAAGCTGATACAGAGAAAACTGACACCATACCCCAGGCCTCGGGTATGGAACCCCAGAGGGCATGCTCCCTAGCTCACGAGCAGATTGGGGAATCACTGAACCAAGTTCAGTGACTTACTGACTGGGGACAGTGGGAGAAATAAAAGACTCCATGGGATGCACATCCTTCCAGGCTGGGCCACATTCTCCCTCCAATAACTAAAGGATCCTGTGAGGAAGGAGCTGGACATAACCCACTGGCCTCCCAGCACCAATGGTTCTATGAGATACAATGGGTCACCCACAGAGAATGTATTAGCAAACTTTGGCTGGGGCTGTGGAGTGGCTGCTAACCTGTGTGTCCCTTCCCTCTGTTATTCAGTGAAAGCAGGTGCGTCAAGGCACTGGAAACAGGCCTACCCATCCATCCACCAACTTCCTTCACCTGTTCCCGCTGGGGGAAGAAAGGAAGATACTATATTGTTCTTTCCAATGCTACTACCAAGAGAAGATTTAAAGGTTGGCTGGCCAAACAAGCTTCTCACTGGGTGGGTAAACTTTCTGCCATTCATCTCTTGGATTTCTTTTCACCAGGCAGAGAGAAGCTGATTGAATTGATAGCAAGCTATTATCATGCACTTCCACACTCTAAGGTAATATCCTATGAAGCTGGTATATTTCCATTTCGCAGAACAAGGAATTGTGACTAAGAGAAGTCAAGTAATTTGCCCAAGACTGAAGGAGAGCTAGTAAGTGGGGGAGGCGGGATTTGAACTCAAGTATGTCTGATGCCAGCGTCTGCTTTTCCAATGGGGAAGAAAGTTAACGAGAGAAGTCATTCTCGAGCACACAAAAGGCTCTTGGAGAACAAATGCAGAAGTGGGGAGTCGTTTTGGAGGAAGCTGACCCAGACAGAGGAACAAAGAATGGGAGGAGTGTCACAGGTTCCACCCTACCAGCTCGGCTGTTCTCATCTAGTCCTTGACCTCCAGCGCCCAAGGCCTGCTCTGCCCGAGTAGCAAACCAGAGCAACAAATGCAACAGGACAAGGGCTGCCTTCCCCAGCCGTTTCCTACCTCTGGTGAGTTTCTCCCAAACGGGCTCAGGGAAAAGCCTAAAAGCAAGTTTGCCCCTAGAGCGCAAAGGGCTTCATTAAGGGGAACTAAGAAGCTAGCACCAAATCAGCAAAATGAAGCGGCCTGTGACAGCCCACCACAGTGCCACTGTGCAATTAGGCCCAGACGTGGGTGGAGGCGAGGAGATTATTCAGGCTCCAAAAATGAAACTGCTGAATCCAGTGGCACAAGAGGAGCAAGCGTGGGTGCAGGGGACGTGTCCCCTGACTCCCCAGGCACCAGCCTTCTCTACCGGGTCAACATCTGCACAGCCCCCACGATGCTCTAAAATGCTTGTGAGAGATCAGCTGACGTCCAAGGTAGAACAAAAGAACAAGGAGGAAGTCACAGAGATTGGGGTGTTGGCACAGACACATCTTGGTTCTTATTAGATATGAAACTTGGTTGGATTTAAGGCCCAGTGTGGCTGAGAATCGGTGCACAATCAGAGAGTCACTAGTCCTAAACAGGCCTCAGGGGCAGGCAGCGTGTCTCCTGGACCCAGCTTTAACCACGCAGTTCTGGGGCCCCTAAAGAAGAGAGGCCGGGGAATGACCTGTTTCTAGAGTAGATCAGGTCCCTGCAGGCCCCACCTCAGCCTTGCTTCTATCTATCTCAGGGAGTTAAAGTTCTGACATCCCACATATGGGCTTCAGGGGTCCACAAACCCCTTTAAGCAACTGTTTGCTACATTTTGTGTGTATGAGTATTTGTTCAAGAGTCTAGCCAGTGGCTTCTAAGCCTGGCTGCTCATCAGACTTGCCTGGGACTCTCTGGTAGGACCCAGAATTCTGCATTTCAGAGCTAATTCTTCAGCTGGGATCCTTGCCCAGGATTGGCCTCTCTCTGCCTGTCAGCACAGGCCCATTGGCTCTCCCATGCCACAG